GGAAGTCACAGGAAAAGCGGCCCCGGGCCACCATCCTGCTGTGGTGCGCGGCGAGGACAGGCCATGCTGGTGGCACCCAGGGGTCCGACCTCACCCCGCGTACTCACCGTCCCTCACAGACGCCGTGCGGGGCTCCCGCGGCTCTTGTGGGGCGCTGTGGGCAGCGAGCTGAGTTTTTGGGGGTCCAGCCGGGCGGGAGCGGAGCAGTGATGCTGCTGGGCGGGTCACGCCGGCCCCCTGCCCGCCACGCCGCCCATCGGGGCGGCTCTCGGGGGTCGCGCAGCGCCCGCCGCGGTGCCCTCGGTTCCCGAACCACGGGCTCGGTGCTGCTCGCTCAGCCGCGCTCTTCCTCCTTCTGTGCGCCCCGCTCTCCCCAGCCCAGAGCGGCCTCCTCGCTCCTCCTCCAGCCCCGCTACCGGGGCAAGGCAGCGGCCACGCGGCTCGGCTCGGCTCGGCTCGGCTCGGCGCGGCGGGGACAGCGGGGACAGCCCCGCAGCGCGCTCTGCCTCCGCCCGCTCCCTGCACATCCTCCTCGGGCATGAGGGATGGGCAGAACGCTGGGAGCAGGCACTGCCAGAGGTGCAGGATGGCAGAAAGCTCCTGAAATGTGTTTGGGGTGGTGAGTGGGGATTGAGCTGCCCGCTGCTGGGGCGGAGAGAGACGGAGCAGCTGCGGGCACCGGGCACCCACAGTGGCACCCATGTCACCACACCTGTGTGTGCCCTGCCTGCCTGCAGGGGTGAGGGAGTTTGGGTTCAGGGGCTCCCGGGAAGGGGTCGGGAGGTTTTCCCAGCAGGACAGGGTTTGGGCAGCACCGCAGGTCCCGGGTGTAGCCCCAGAGGTTTTACTCCTCGTGGCCAGGAGCGAGCGGCCCACACGCGTGTGGTGGCTCGAGCTGCCAGGGTGATTAACAGCGATTAATTACAGATGAGCAGCAGTCACCGTCTGCTGTCCAAGTGCCTGGCAGCTCCAGAGCTGCTCAGGAGATAGATGGAGAAGAAGATTCCTGCTGGAGGAGGATGAGGATAAGGATGAGGATGGAGAGCTGTGCCAAGCCACGCTCCTGACTGTTCCCCACCCTTGGCACCATTGCACATCCCTGCAGCCCTGGGCCCATGCTAAGGGACTGTTCTCCCCACCTCCTGCCCCAGCCCTCCAGCACAGATCTGCCAAAACCCCCTGCGAGGCTTCCTCCTGGCTTCCCAGCCTCGAGAGGAACCTGTGGCCGGGCCAGTGAGAAGTTGGGCCACCCAGTTTATTTTGGGCTGGTGTTCTGGTCACACAGCAGTGGGTGCAACTCTGCCCAGCACCTGCTGTGGGGACACACAGAGGTGGCAGGTTTGTGTGGGGCTGCAGACACCCATCCTGCTGGAGCCCCAGTCCCACCAGTGCTGCTCCATCCTGTTACTTAACAGCAGGGCAGTAATTCCTGGCAGGCGTGGAGGTGCCTATCTCCTGATTAATGCCATCCATGCCACTTAATCCGGATCAGGGGAGAAAGCCCTGGAGCTCTGAAGGGCTTTGGGAAATCAGCAGTGCCTGCTGTGTTTATGTAAGGGGCTGTGGTGTGCAGTGCCAGAGGCGGAGCTGGGACCGAGCCAGAGGCACCTGCCAGCACCTGGGCACAGGTGAGGTTGGGAAGGCAACGTGGGCTCTGCTGGGGGCTCTGCCTGCACTGAGGTTCCCTCCAGAGCCTGTGGATGCAGGAAGCCCCATGGCCCTTCCCTGGCAAGGCAGGATGCTCCAGGGCACTGTCCTTTGGGACAGAGGGACGAAGCAACCACGCTCCACCAGCCCCATGCCCACTGGTGTCCTGCCCCTCTGGGAGTGGCTGTTTGAGCAGTGCTTTACACAGTGCATGTACCTGGAGGGATGGTGGGATGAGGAGGTGGGAGGAACCTCTGGCCATTCATCACGCAGGAAAAAGGAAGAAGCCTCTTTCATTTCCCCATTATTTTGAATTCTTCTTCCTTCCCCAGCGTTTGGTTTGGAGCCCAGGGTGAGCGTGGGAAGGGATGTGGGCTCTGTTCATCTCCCCACTCTTTTGGGGAGGGGAATTATCTGCTCCCCAGCTTGGGCAAGGCTGAATCCACCCAGTTGGGATTAGGCTGAGCTGAAGGGACCCAAGGTGAGCCCTGCTCTCCACCTCACCACGCTGTGCAGACCCTGCAGAGCCAGTGAGTGGCCCCAGTCACAGGGTTTTCATTAAGAGCGTAACGAAGAGCCACAAACAAAGCTCAGGATTAGGTGCCCCAGGCACAGTGCTGGGGGCCCTGGCCAGGCTGAGGATGTCCAAGTGGGGCTGCCTCCTCCTCCTCCTGCTTTTCCTCCTCTTCCTCCTCCTCTTTCACCTGCCAGTGTGAAGGTCACAGTTCACGTGTCCCCCTGACTGTGGCAGAAATAGCACCCGTTAATCTGGACCCTAAGCAGCTCTCCTGTGTGCAATTAAAGAGATCACAAGTCTCGACCCCAGGGTACGTGTGCTGGCAGCTAAAGCCCCAGCAGTGGGGCTGCTGGGCATGGCTGGGCATGGCATGGCAGCTCCCAGTGGCCATGGGGGAACAGGTGAGCTCTGTTTGGGAGGAGATGGTACCCAGGTGATAATTTTTGTTGAGCTGAGGCAGGGGTCTGGGAGGAGGCACAGCTCCTACAGGGATATCCTGATCCCAGTGCTCAGGGTTGAGCCAGAACCAAGTGCAGCCCCAAAGGAAGGGCTTGAGTGGTGCTGGAGCTGAGGAGGATGAGTGGGGCCTTGCTGGAGCAGTTTGTAGCTGCCCTGGGCTGTCCTTGTGCCCCATCCCTAGAGCCAGTCCCACAGCCATTCCCACGGGAGGGCATCCCCCACAACGGCTGTGGCTGGGACAGGGTTGCAGTGGGAATTCTGCTTGCCTGGCAGCCATAAGGTAGAGCCACTTTGAACTTTCCACAGTCTTCTCTTGACCGCAGCAAACCTGGAGTTAATGATGTGCTAATTGGGTCAGGCGAGGCCAGCCTGGAGTTATGAAATGATGCTGGGCTGGGCAGGCTGTGCTGGGGACAGTGGCAGCTCTGTGTCCCACCCACCAGGGGTGGCTGGTCCTGCCCTCTTGGTTCAGGGAGGATGAATCCTGCCTTCACCCCATCATCTTGTACCTCAGTGTCCCCATAGGGACGGTGTCCTCTGTGCCCTGGGCCATGGCAGGTCACCTCTAGGCGAGCAACCACATGGGCACCTCGGCCATGCAGGAAGCTGCTTGTGCCTCCATCCTTCTCCTATCCAGCCAGGAAGGGGAGGGAGAACTCCAGGCTGCTCCCTGCTCTGCCATCTCCATCCAACCCCATGCCCAGACCCATCCCATCTCCCCTTGCCATGGGAGCAGCTGCAGAGAGCTCCTGTGGGGATCCACACTCCTTCCCACCAGGAGCAGAGCTTCCACCTCAATTACCATCACCTTGCTCCTAAGCCCTCTTTGCCAATCCCTCTAAGCTGCTTTCCCAGGGCTCCAGCAAGGGATGTATTTATAGCCCACTCTTACTCATGAATCGTCTCCCCAGTTAATTAATTAATAGGATTCTTCCCGCCAGCTCCTCTCCCCGCGCTCACTGCCACACCCCCAGAGCCCTGGCCAAGGCTTGTGGGCGAGAGATCAGATGCCAGGGGAGGGACAGCCAGGGGGGATATAAGAAGCTGCAGGACTGGGAGCAGCCCGTAGTGACTGGGTGGCACTGGGAGCTGCTGGGAGAGGACGACGACGACGTCTGTCTGTCCATCCTCCCGCCAGGTGAGTGCTGCCTGCTCTGCTGCCACAGCTTCGGGGCTCTGAGGGTTTGGAAAACAGGATAAGGACACTGGTGCTGGGTTGTGGCTGGAAGGAGGGTGGTTTGCAGCTGAAAATTGGGCGAAATGTGGACAGAAAGGATTCCAGTGTGGCCAAAGGACACGGCGGACAGGTCAGGTAGTGGCATGGGACAGCTGAGCCAAGCAGGGAAGGTCCGAGTCCTCTCTTTGGGGTTTGGGAGATGCAAAGCAGGAGTTCAGCTCTTCTCCCCTCCACCTTTCATTGCCTCATTCCCAATTCCTGGGGTCTGGAGGGAGCCAAACACTGCTCCCACTCCCTTTGCATCTTCTCACCCCGTGAGAATTCCAACTTCACATCCCACAGCACCCAAGGACTTCAAAGATCCTGAGCTTGGGACTAATCTCTTGTCTTCCTGTGGGGAAGAGGATCATCCTCTCACTCCCATGGCCATTTCTTCTGTCTCACCAGCTTCCCTGATGTTGTGTTCAGAGGCAACTGTGTCCACGTGCCCCTGGGGCTTAAAATCCTGCCTGGGCTTAAGCTGTGCCCATGTCAGAGCTGTCTATCCCTAAGAGGCTGAGCTCATCCCATTTAATATCCTTGAGAATCAGCTGGTGATCAGTAGGATCTTTACAGGCTCCTTCTGCACACAGGCTGAGCCAGCAGAGCTCGGGCAGCTCCAGCCCCACTCCCAGCACAAAGGGTTGGGAATGGAGGGATCCTGTGCCCTGAGACCCCTCTTCCCATGGGCAGCTGAGCTTCCCTTGATCTTTCTCCCTGGCTTTTCCTCACCTTCCTATGAGTGATAGGACAAAACAAGCCCAGTCCTATGACAGCCAATTTCCAGGAAAAACTATTAAAACTGAGATTCTATAAGGCCTTTTGTTCATTTTCTTGCCTTTCCCAGCCTTGAATTGGATCCATTGAGAATCACCCCTGTGCTTCCTCTTTTGTGGAGCAACACTCTCCTCCTTTATCACCTTTTTGGATGGGAACAAGGAGCTGGCTCAGCTCCTGTGTGCTTCCCCAAAGCCAAACCTGGAGCTCCCAAGCTCTGCAAAGGTGGCAGTGCCATATCCTGAGGGCTCTGCAGTTTTTTGGGATGTTCAGGATGTTGGCTGGTGGCTACGGCTGGGGTTGCCTCTTCCCCAGCACCTCATCCCATGCTTCTCCTGTCTCTCCCCACAGATTTCCACGTGGACATTCCTGCACTGAGTTAAAATGGCAGATGGATCAAAGTAAGTATCTTTATTGATTTATTTATCTGGAATTGGGATGGAGCAGGGCACTGCAGGGCAGGAGCAGAGGGGGAAAGTGAGACCCCATCTCGACCCAGCTGCTGCTCCCAGGGCCTGGAATGTGGGATGCCATGGAGCTGCCATGGAGATTTGTGTTGGTCTTTCTCACTTGCCCTTAAGACACAGAATCCACCCTCTCCTCCATGGTCACCCTGAGCTCAGGAGTACACCTGGGGTAGCCACACAGGGCAGGTTTGGCCCTGAATTTGCAGGACATTAAATTTTCCAGGGACTGGACACTCTGGCGTGGCTCTTGGTGATGCACCACATTTGTAGGGCTGCCCATCATCTCCCTGTGCCCCATCCAGGCTTGTCCAAGGCATTCCCAAACATCAGTCTCTGTTTTCTCCACAGGGTTTTCAAGAAGACCAGCCCCAACAGCAAGGTGAGTCTCTGTGCCCTGTCCCCTCGTGTGTCTAGCCCAAGGTTTGGGCTGTGCTGGGATCTCTCTGGGCTGGATCTGCCCACAGGATCCAGGCTGGGTCTGCCTTCCCTTTGAAATCTCATTGATTCCTGGACCTGCCACGGTGCCACTGCAGGACTGGTTTTTCAAAACAGAAATTTAAAAATACCCTGATATGACCCCTTCAAGGTGATTCTGGTCCAGCCTGGTGACAAAACCCATGACACAACCCAGGGCTTCGAAATTTGGGCCAATTCCACGGCAAACATTAACTTGCTTCCTTCCTCCCTTTCCCCACGTGCTGCTTCCAGCTTTCCCTCTACCTGGGGAAGAGAGACTATGTGGATAACGTGGATTCAGTGGAATCTGTTGGTGAGTGGGGCTGTGCCCAGCACTGAGGGGGAAGTACAGGCAGGAGAGGCTGGGGAGACCAGTCCCAGTGTAGAGCAGGAGGAGCAGCTCTGGAGGAGCAAATGCCATTTTCCCTGCAAATATCCTTAGGAAAAATAGTGGGGAAGGGGACAAAGTCCTTTTGCAAAACAAGCCAGCCACCCCCCTTGGCAGCAGCTCCTCTCAGTCACCTTCCAGCTGCAAAGTGGATTATTTGGGTTTAGAAAGCTGTGTTTTAGTAAAGATCTTCCCAGGCAGCTGAGCTCACCAGTCCTTCTCCTTTTGCTTGTTTGCAGATGGTGTCTGCCTGATCGACCCGGAGTACCTAAAGGACAGGAAAGGTATTGATACAGAAATACAGCACGAGGGGAGGGGATGGAAGCAGCTCCAAGCTCAGCAGCAGCCTGGGGCTGTGCTCAGGTTAAAGCTGCCCCGTGTCACCCACAGCTTGCTGTCCATCGGTGCCATGGCAGCAAAGAACGTGAGGGATGCTGTTTGTATTTAGTGTCTGAGGAAGTCTCATTTCTGCTGAAGAGTTTTGGAAACGGTTTTTCTTGCCTCTTTATTCACCCCCTGTGCCTCTCCTCCCTCCCCTCACGCCTCTCCTGCCCGGCTCAGTGTACGTGACACTGACCTGCGCCTTCCGCTACGGCCGCGACGACCTCGATGTGATCGGCCTGACCTTCAGGAAGGACATCTACGTGGTGACCACCCAGCTGTACCCGCCCGTGCCGGACCAGGCTCCCAAAACCCTCACTCCTCTGCAGGAGAAGCTGATGAAGAAGCTCGGGGAGAACGCCTACCCCTTCACCTTCGAGGTACGGGCTGCCCGGCCTCTCCCGGCCACGCGGCTCCACGGTGTCACCACGGTGTCACCACAGCGTCACCAGGGCTCGGCTCTGAACACGCCCTTTATTCCCTTTTTTCTCTTTTTCCTTGCTCTGCCCAGATTGCCACCAACCTGCCCTGCTCCATCACCCTGCAGCCCGGGCCAGATGATGTGGGAAAGGTGAGCTGCTGTCCCCAGCCTGTGTCCCCTGGACCATCCTCCCCGGGAAGGGGCTGAGTTGTGGGGTGCTAAAAATGAGAATAGATTCTCATGGGCATGGGGTGACTGGTGGGAAGGGAGGATGGCTGGAATCAGAGGCAGGATTTCTGGGAATGCAGCGGAGGAAGGAAGACAAGGAACCTAAAGCTCAGGCAGCTCTGCCCCCCTCCTGCTCAGTGACCTCCTATGTTCCCCCAGGCCTGCGGCGTGGACTTCGAGGTCAAAGGATTTTGTGCTGAAAATCTGGAGGAGAAAATTCACAAGAGGTATTTTCAGGGGATCCCTTTTCCCCCTTTTGGCCCTAAAACTAAACCACAGGATCTTTTTGGGGTGACCAGTTCAGGGGTCAGGCTGAGGGGTTTCTGTCAGCCTGGGTGACATTATTGGATGGGGAACTCTGCCCGAAACTGGGGCAGTGGTCCCTGTGCTACATCCTAAGGGCCAGGTGAAACGTTCACCCTTTGGCTGGAGACACTGTGAAGTCCCCAAAGAGTCCCTGTGACCCCTTGAAGGCCTTGCTGACGTGGTCGGGGACGCTGGGGGTGCCACCTGTGTCCCCACAGGAACTCCGTGCGCCTCATCATCCGCAAGGTGCAGTTCGCCCCGCTGCAGACGGGGCCAGCCCCGAGAGCCGAGACCACCCGGCAGTTCATGATGTCAGACAAGCCTCTGCACCTCGAAGCTTCCCTGGACAGGGAGGTCAGTAAGGACACTGTCCCCACCAGAGATGGCGACCAGGATTTCTGGTCACATCACTGAGCCTCTTCCCCTTGCAGATCTACTACCACGGAGACCCCATCAATGTGACCGTCAACATCAACAACACCACCAACAAGGTTGTGAAAAAAATAAAGATCTCAGGTGAGAGAGGGGCAGAAGGGACATGTCCCAGCACCCATCTCTGCCAGAGACGGGGACTATGAGCCCCTGCCATGTCTCCAACGTGGCTCCCCCTTGTCTGTCCCCAGTGGATCAGATCACAGACGTGGTCCTGTATTCCCTGGATAAATACACGAAGACTGTGTGCACCGAGGAGATAAAGTAAGGGACAAGGGGCTGAGGGTGATGTGGCATTTCTGAGAGAGAGGAAGAGGAGGAGGATGGGACAGAGATGGGGAGAGAGGATGTGACAGTTTCACACCAAGCAGCGAAAATGTCTGGGTTAGAAGAGCAGATGCAGAGGACAGAGAAGACTGTGGACCACGTCCCACCAGCACAAGCTGGTGGTGGCTGGGGAGGTCCCTGGGGAAGGTGCACAGCTGCTCCCAGGCTTCTTCATCTCCTCACTTTGCATTTTTGAGGCCAGACACAGCCTCTGCCCTGCTGAGAACGAGGAGGGAGGTAGAAAGGTGGTGGGGAGAAAAAAGAAGTGGTTGTAGAGGGGAAAGAGAGGTGGGAACGAAAGGAGGAAATGGCCCAGCAGCTGCAGGGGGAGGGCAGGGCTGGCTCTGCACAGGTGCCTGCAGTGATGCTGAGCACCCCCAGGCTGGGGCTGGCTCTGAGCTCTTTTTTCCCACCCTTCCAGTGAGACTGTGGCTGCCAATTCCACCTTCTCCAAAACGTACTCAGTGACCCCCATGCTCTCGTCGAACCGCCAGAAGCGAGGCCTCGCTCTCGATGGCAAACTCAAGCACGAGGACACCAACCTGGCCTCCACCACCATGTAAGGGCTGCGTGGGCTCCCCCTGCTCCCCACCACGCCTTCCCCCTGCTCTGGGCTCCCACCAAGGGCCCCTGAGCCCACCCCATCCAGCTGGAAAATGTAGGGATTTTGTGACAAGTCTCTCCATCCCATAGGAAAGATGTAGCTTCCCAGTCCCAATGTTGTTCAAAGGTCCTGAATCCCTCTGCAGGGCTGGGTCTTGTCTTGGAATGGGCCTCCAGAAGCTTTTCTGTGGCTTTATCCCAAGTGCCCCCCCCATCTTCTCCTGTTTTCCTCTCCTCCTAAACCCCAGTGCACCTCACATGTTGCAGGATGCAGATAAAGCCTGGCACTGCCATGGGTGGGGTGGACGGGGTCTGCAGGCAGCACAGCCCCTTCACTGTCCCCCTCTGCTTTTTTCCTAGCCTGAGACCCGGCATGGACAAGGAGGTGCTGGGCATCCTGGTGTCCTACAAAGTGAAGGTCAACCTGGTGGTGTCCCGAGGAGGGTGAGGCTCTGTGTCAGGGGAATCAGGGGCCATCAGCTCAGGCTGTGCTGGGGGGTTTTGTACCCCGGGGAATTGAGAGGGCAGTCACACCATGGGCCTCCTCATCCATGGCCTGCTCCTCTGGGGTCACTGGGCTGCTCTGTGACCCCTATTACCAACCATCTTCCACTTCAGTATAAAGCACAGCCTAACACCTCCCCTCCTCTGCCTTGGCTCATTTCTGTCCCTTCTCTCCTGCTGCCACAGCATCCTGGGGGATCTCACTGCCAGGTAAGGGGAGCTGTCTGTGGGGCTGAGCGTGGGGCTATGCTGGGCAGGATCCTTGACAGAGCTGCTTTTCCTTCCAGTGATGTTGGGGTGGAGATGCCCGTCATCCTCATGCACCCGAAGCCTGATGACTGTGAGTTGTGTGTGGGATGCTGCCGAAAATCAGTGGGAAAGAGGCGCTTCTGGTTCAGGGGGAGCTGGTGAAAACAACTCTGGTGCAGCTGCCCCAGTGCCAAGGGCCCTGCTTTGCCCTCTGTGGGATGGGCACAGCTGTCCTGGAGCGGGGTGGGAGCAGTTTTCCCATGGGATGGGCACATCTGTCCAGCTGTGCTGCACCCATCCTGTGTCCTGGAGCAGGGTGGGAGATGTCCTCCCCATAGCACCCTTCCCACTGTCCCTCTTTCCAGGCAAACACCCAAGCACTGAGCAGAGCTGCCAGTTGAAATGTCCTTTCTCTATTAACCTGCATATCTTTTCTCTCCCCATCCCTTTCTCCCTGTGCTTATCACTGGAATACAGCTAAGCCAAGGTAAAGAGATGTTCTCTCTAACAGACAAACCACACAGATCCATCACAGATGGGTGTGACATCCCAGCTTGAGGTCACATCCTTGGATTGAACCACCCAGGTCTCAAAGCCTGGTGTCACAGCAGCCACTCTCAGAGGCAGCAGGAGAGACCAAATTCTGGGATTGGGATGTGTTCTGCAGACTCCCAGGGTTTATTTGACAAGTCCTCTTGCTGCAGCCACAGCAGCTGCAAGCCCAGGCCTTGCCCTGTCCCTCAGAAGCAGCTGGCAGTGTCTTCCAGACACAAGTGCCATCACTGGACAAGATGTCTCCATGGTTTTGGTCCCCACACAGAGCTCCCTGGGCTGCTGGAAGCCACATCCCTGTGCCCCTGCACATTCCCCAGCACCAGAGGCCTCTTCTCCTCCCAGATCAGCTTATTCCAGCTGAAGCCACAGCTGGGACGTCTTCCCTCTGGGAAGCTGCAGTGCCAAATCCGTTCCTGGCACCATGGCCCTGCCAAAGGTTTTGTGTCTGGTTACACCCTGCAACAGGATGTGAGCACTGGGATTTGGGGCCTGGAAAACCAGGCTGCAACTCCAGGCTTTCACACTTATCCCTCTCACACCATCCCTTTCCCAGCTCAGTGAGAACATTTAAACTTCCAAAGAGGAAATCTCTTGGTCTATATCCACCATGGCTCCATGTAGGTTTTGCCAAATCATTTGACATTCCCAAACTTTTGGAAACTCTTTTGCTGACTCTTCTTTTCTGTTTTATCCCCTGCTTTTCACTTTGTGCTCTCCCTTTCTGTCACTCACTGCTCACCTTCCTCCAGGAGGTAACTGAGCTCTTTGTTTCCTTATCCTTGTTTTCCCTTGGAAATGCAAAATATTGTGTGAAAAACCACCATAAGCTGCAGGCCAAGCTCCTTGGGTCATGCAGGCTCCCAGCGGTGGGGTCTGGGGTTGTGTGCTGGGGCCAGGCTGTGTCTCACAGGGACCTGAGTGTTCTGAGTGGGGTGACAGGGCCGGGGTGACCACTGTGCTGTCACCATCAGGAGCAGGGTTTGGGCTCAGCAGGGATTTCCCTTCCTCCTGTGGGCTCACTGTGCTCTGCTCTCCCTTCCAGCGAGGAGGACATTGTCATTGAGGAATTTGCTCGCCAGAAGCTCAAGGGAGAGAAGGATGATGAAGATGAGAAGGAGGAAGCTGAGAAAGAGGAGAGCTAAGCTGCCAGCCCCCCACGCCCCAGTTTGGGACACAGCCACCTGTAGTGTCCCCACTGTGCCACACCTGGCACAGCCCCCTCAGCCCCCCACAGTCCCCATAGATGCCCCCTCGTCACCCACTCCAAGCCCTGGTAGTGGTGGTGAGAGCTGCTGCAGCTCCTCCCGGGACTGCCACGTTGGAAAGCCCCACAGTGCTCCCTGTTCCCATGGGTGCCAGCACAGGGACAGGGACAGGCTGGGTGCGATGGCCCCGGCCATCACCTGCCCGTGACATGTTGTGCACAGCTCTGTGACATTGATACCAATAAACCCACTCGGTGGCCCGGTGCAGGCTCCGTGTTGTGCTGGGGGGGAGCAGACGGTGCCTTTGTGCAGTGGGGGGAGGACGAGGTGATGCAGGACCTGGTGCAGCCAGTCCCATCCAAGCTACAGCTGGATGCATCCTGCTACAGCTGCAGGATGTATCCTACAGTCCAATCCCAGTACAGCCAGACCCTGCATCCTGCTACAGCTGCAGGATGTATCCTACAGTCCAATCCCGGTACAACCATAGCCAGTACAGCCAGACCCTGCATCCTGCTACAGCCGCAGGATGTATCCTACAGTCCAATCCTGGTACAGCCAGACCCTGCATCCTGCTACAGCCACAGG